AGCAGAGTTAACTGTAATCATTAACTGCTCCCAATCTGCATATGGTTGCCTCTCTCTACCTTTTCTATGAATACTTTCAGGGTAATTCTTCGGATGAGCTTTTTGCTATGGTACCTAGATTTTTTTTAATTTAAGCACGGTACTAGACTAGCATTGAGATATCATCAATTTACAGCTGGGCTGGCTAGATGTAATCATAAATTCTCTGCTAACAGTTTCTTTTATTGCACTTCAAAATCATGAAACTCCCTTCTAGCTCCATGCCTTCCAGACAACTTTAATCTGCAAAAATTTAAATGCAGTGTCAATCACTATCTATTGTCCTCCTGATTACTCTTTCCTCTTACTGTTCCTTAGTAATGTTTCTGTTCCTAATTCTTCCATATCCTGTAACTCCTTAGTGGTTTTACAGCTTTGCATGGAGTGATACCAATTAAAAAAAAAATTTTATGATTCCTAACATTATTTTTAGAGGACAACCACATTTGAGCAGACATTCTGTTTTGTTTTAAAACATTATTTATGATAGTGAATACTGGACAATCTCCTCACAGCTGAAGAAGAGACTTAGAAATTGTAGATACCAAAATCAAACAATTTAAATATCTGGGAAGTGTTTTAACAGATGATGGGCAGTGTGACACTGATATCCAAAGGTACATTTGGGATAGCCAAAGAAACATTCCAAAAGCTAAGCAGAATACTAAGAAATAGAAAAACTTTGCTAGAAACAAGCAAAAGAGTACTGAACTGTTATGTGATATCTGTTCTCCTATATGGCAGTGAATGATGGACAACCTCTTCACAGCTGAAGCAACAGAAATGAGGTTCTACAGAAGGATACTGAGAATACTATTGACTGAACATATGAGCAACAACAAAGTTTAGAGAAAATGGAAACAAAAAGGAAACTTATACTTGACATCAGGAAGTGAAAGTTGAAATTTCTAGGGCACATCATAAGGAAGGTTTCATATTCCCAGGACAGATTGAAGGCAAGAGAGATAGAGGAAAACAATGCATAACCTACCTAGTGAGCTTGAGTAAATGGATTGCAGAACAAGGTTTAGTGTGTTGGCTATTCATATAATCAATGGCTAAGTTTTCTACAAGTATATTTGTCATGAAATAATGGTGGTGAAAAGGTACATGCACAAAATAATAGAGGCTGATTGATCTGTAATAAAAGATAACATTTATTTATCAGAAATAACAAAAGGAATGTTTAAGAGTTTCTTTTCCTCGAAATAAATTGAATACACAATGAAAATTGTTAATGTATGTATTTGAGTGTGACTTGCCTGTGTCAGTGTTTTTGTGTTTGAAGCATCCACAGCCTCTTTTTGGCTTCGGTGTGAAAAGTCAATGGCACACACTTTGAAAGGAGGAAAAACAGTAAGAGGGTGTTACTTAAGTGTTCACCTGTTCTTTATACCTCAGGGCTGCTGCTGGTAATATGTTTATTAAGGTACTACAAAGGTTTAGGAGATATAACAAAAAGACAAAATTTATTAACAGGACATTGTGGAGAACCATGATTATTAACATACTAAATGGATATGATACATAGAAGAAGATGATTTCATCTATCAGCCTGCACACTGGAGAAAATTTAATAATTTAATTTTCATTATTAAATTTTCACATACTGAAATAAACAGTTAAAAAAAAAACAGAAAATGAAGCATACTACAGTTATCCCCTAAAAATGCTTGAAATAATAAAATTATCTATGCATTCAGCTTAAAACACTAAAATGCTCAACAGACATTCTTTGTTCTATTCAGGTGTCACACATGAACTGACACATTTTCGGTTGGTTGTTGATTCAATTGTCTAATAACCTCCTTAGTGTATAAAAAAAAATCTTGAATTATTCCTGACTCTTTTTCTTTCAATATATTGTTACTCATAAGCTCAATGAAAATGATTACAATGAAACAATGCCGAGTAATCTTATTGTACAAGCATAAACTGGGAAAAAGAACCATTTTGCATCAAATCATGACATGTGATGAGAAATGGATACTCTTTGACAACAGTAAGAGAGTAGACCAGTGGTTAGATGCATGGGAATCACCAAAACAATATCCAAAACCTCCATTGCACCCTAAAAAGTTAATGGTTACTGTATGGTGGTCTTTCAAAGGGGTTATTCATTATTGCCTCAAAGGAAAACATTAACAGCAACCTTGTATTGTGGAAAAATTGAGTGTATGCACAAAAAAATTGAAAAATAAACATTCTAGGCTTGTGAATAGGGATGGCCTAATTTTGCTGCATGACAATGCATGGCCACACAGTTCTCATTCAATTGTCCAAAAGATGCATAGCTTGAATTATGAAATTTTGCCTCATCCTCCATATTCACCTGATATCTCTCCTGCTGATTATCATTTATTTCAGCATTTTAGCTTGTCATACGCAATAAGACATTCTCCAATAAGGAAGCAGTAGTTGAAGCATTTGAACTGTTTATCACATCAAAGGATGAGAATTTTTTTAAAGATGAGATCAAGAATTTAGAGGTACATTGGAGAACAGTCATTCATCAATATGGTGCCTATTTTAACTAAATAAATTAGTTAACATTTAAGTAGCATTTTATTCATTTTCTGTAAAGTGCATCATTTCATGTGTGACAACATAATATTTTACAAAACATGTTCAAATAATGTTTGTATTCTTGTACACATTAACTTTGTAATGATGTCTGTATTATTATTATATTGTCATTTTAAATCAAATAAACAAATTTTGAAAAAATACATTTTACCTCCGATAATTATCAAATTTAAACTTTTTTCTTACATCACAAAGTCAAAAATAATTAATTTGATTATGTTTCTTATTTTATCTGGGAAAAATTCTGTTGTTATTTACTAAGTATTGTAAAATTTTATAACAATTTCAAACTGTTATTGTCCTATATATTTTTTTAATCATTTCACCCTCAGCAACGTGATAATACCACTAGGACATGGGGGGGGGTTACAGACAGTGAAAGAGAATGAGTAGGCTTTAGTGAGGAGAAGTGAACAAAAGAGCAATAAAGGAACAGGATTCAGGAAGACAGAAGATTGTGATTAAAATATATAAATAATTGTAGATGACAGAAAAGCAAGAAATCGGTAAGGAATTCTGCAGGCAAAAAGTATGAGCAAAGAAACTATTAGAACTGATGACATTTGCACCTTTTGTATAGTTCACTAGTAAAATAGTAAGACCTAGTTACCAATCTAGTTCATTTCAGTTAGGTGCCATATGTGATACACACTTAGGCGATCATGTCTCTTTTGATTCATGACTGACAAGGCAGAAGATTTTCCTGCAGTAGGTTACCATTTTTTTTCTGTAGTAAACTGGCTGCCAATAAAGACTGTAAGATGCAGTTTGTCCTGCTATTCAACCCATAGCTGGGGGGTGAGAAGAGATGGACTTATACCTTTCACAAAGGTATTTGCACATAAGTGAATGTAATGAACCAATCTAGTAGGATGCTTAAATTCATGCAGTCAAGGCACTAACGAGAACAGCTAATCAGAACGATTATCATAAAAATATTTCTAGAAAAGACAGAGGGAAGCCATGTCATGTCACTGGGAAAATGACTCAAATCAAAATGCCAGGTTAGATTACATTACAGACCCTTTTTTGAATTTTGCTGAGAATCTCAAATATATAAAGGAGCAGCAGCTGTATACAATGCATGGACAAATGATAGATTTATAAATGTGCAGGATGAATTCTGACAAGAAGAATGTTACTTTATTTATTTTTTTTTAATAAGAAGTTACTATAGTTATACAGCATCAATGAAATTTAAAACTTTGAATAAGAAAGAAACAGTCCACTATTTATTTAATGTTGATTCTATCCAAGGTATATAGAATGTGTGATATAATTTAGTGGTTTTGTTTAAAAGGTGAACACTTTGAATCTTTAGAAAAATTAGACATTGAGCAATTACTGTACTTATTTACTTTTTTAAAATAATAATAAAAATTGCAGGATACTGCAAGAGCAGCTAACCAATCCCTGTTGCAGACACCTACTCGGGCACATTTGTATCTGTTCACCACCCATTGTACCCACATGAGTTTTATACAGCAACCATGCTGAACAGAGTTTAGTTACAATTTATTGGAAAGAGTGCATCATCTGGCCTTGAACAAAGCCAGTATGCTCAAACCCTCAGGCTAACACAACTTCTGAATAGTTTAAAATGCAATTATTTATAAAGACCATTTACATGTCCGTATTTATGCATACTTGAATTTGAACTGACACATCTCACTCTCTTTAACCAAACTTCTAAATGATTCATTTTTAGTTCAATTAGACTTGAGAAAATTAACTCCTTTTATTTAATATAGAAATCTCTAGGACATAACAAAAAGATTGAATTTAACTAGACTGGCAGCCACATGTACTTGTACCTCCATTAATATCATTGATTTTATAAGTAGAATTCCAGTCCTTTGTGCATTGTCCCTTCATGATGTATTCAATCATGGCTCTCCACATTTTTCTGTCCTTTGTAGCTATTAATAAAATTTATCTTTTTCTTATCTCCCCTAAACCTTGTTCTGCCATTCATTTATTCAAGCTTGCTTGGTAGGTTATGCATTATTTTCCTTTCTCTCCCTCTTGCTTTCAATCTGTCCTGTGAGTATCAAATTTTCTAAACTCTCTTTTTTCATGATGTGCTCTAGAAATTTCAACTTTACCTTCCTGATGTCAAATATAAGTGTCCTTCTTTTTGTTTCCATTTTCTCTAAAATTTCATCATTGCTCACATGTTCAGTCCATGGTATTCTCAGTTTGTCCTTTGATTCAAACCTGAGTTGAAAAAAAAAAAAAAAAAAAAGAATCAGCATTTTTTATATTTGTACTGAAAAATATAATTTCAGTTGCAGTCATGATTAAAAGCCAAAAATATTTTACTTTTCTTTCTTTTTCAATTTGCTTTCATGTGGATGTTCTTTTCCTGTTTGCAGATTATATCAAAAGGATCCAAGTCACTTTCTCTTCAAATGTTGACCTTATCAACGAAAATAATCTACACTGGAGGTCCTGGCTAAAGACACAATTACAAGAAAAAGTTGCTGAAGTAAGTTAGTTCCCTTCATGCAGTAGAGGCCAAATTGCACTGAAGCATTAATTTTTTTTTTTTTTTTTTTTCAATGATGTACAAGGCCCAAGAGCCACTCGAAGTGGGGGTGTTAGAGTAAGAGGCACAATTTATCTGGATATGTGGAAAAGATAATGGTTAACTCTAGACTTGAACAGGTTAAGATTGTAGTGATCAGAGAAGCATCCTCTTTGAAATTGGTTCCACAAAGCAGTAGTTCATTGGAAGAAGCTGCTCAAGTAGAACTCACATCTCACCAATAAAATACAAAGTGAATGAGGGTGGCTTGCTACAAAATGCACATCATGGTAAGTTTTAGCCATAAAGGTTAGAACTGGTGGAACTAAGCAGTGTAGTTTGCCTGAACACTTTCCATGGAAATAGCAATAGAACAGTAAGAAACTTGTGACATTTCATCTGTCAGAAAGGGGTTGTAGGGTGGAAAATAATTCATCACCCACAAGGAGGTGGAGACACTTTTGAACTATCAAGACAGGAAAATGAAAATTGGTCAGCACCTTCCCATAGATAGCAACAGTCAGTATGAAAATGAAGACATTTCAGCTGCTTTCTTCTTTTATTTATTGTTTCTTATTGAAATTTCCCAAACTTTTATTGTCTTCAAAGTATTTCAGTATGTATTTATATAGCATTTTTCTTGATGTGTGTCTAATAGTAAATTTTAGAACACCACAGGGCATTTTCCACATTTTAGATAGTGTACACTTTATTGAAACACTAATTTATATATTTATTTCTTTATTGTACTCTGCATTTTTCTACTTGTAAAAAAACATTTCCTAGAGAAAGTAAACAAATCATAGTCCTATAAAAAGTAACTTCATAGTGAATAAAGCAACTGAATGTTGCTGTAAGATGGCTTCTTTAACAGCCTATAAAAATGTCAGTAAATCTCAGACAATATCACAGAAGTCATTCACAATAAATATGCTTTTAAAGCATTGAAAATTTTACTAAATATCTAAGTACACCAATCATACAAAAGAGGGCAATACTGTATGAAATAAGTTCCTTTACAGCAATTTGAACATGTAATAATAAATAAAATCACTCAAATCAACATAGAATGTGTGATGCCTACACAAGAGTCAGTCTAGCCACTTTCTTGAATCTACCATTAAAAGAGAATTGTGAAAGACTAAGGAATATTCTAATGAACATGGCAAAGAGCATTCTTGCAGAAATTCAAATTAGTGTTATATATCTTTTATCTTAGCACTGAAAGATCATAACAGCATATAAAAAGAAGACTTTTTGGCCATATTGTGCAGAACTTTCAGACTAAAAAGTAAACGGAGTACTGTTTTATATAGCAAATATAAAATTCATATCCATCTTTGAGAAAATAGGGTTCAAGGTTATCATAGCTTTTTGTTATTATAAATTAAACAGGCCATTACATACATATGGTAATGGTAATGGTGATATTAGCCGTTTCCCTACAAGGAAACATTTGGCATTCATTGACCAAGCAGCCAGTACTGCTTTTGATTGAAATTTATAAAATCTTTCTCTTGAAAGAATTTTTTTTCGGAAAATAGGCTTCTCAAGTCCAGTAGCAATTATCACTCTTTCCAATATTGATGGGATTTCTTTCTGAAACTTTCATTTGAAGTAGTGTGGAATGTTAACATCTTGATTATATCATTATTTTCTCTTCAAGTTATATGTGCTATCCATTTTAGTTGTTGCCACTGTTGGAACTTTTCAAGTGATGTGGTTTCTGTTATTTGGTATAGTTTTTTCTTTATGATTCTGTAGTGTCAGTCCAGAATGTTCAATATATATATATATATATATATATACTGGACTCTCCTGTTGTTTTGATATATATAGAACCAAACAGCCAGTACTTACATATGAACAATTTAGTTTTCTTTGAGAACCCAAATGTTCCCAAACAACCCTAGACTTCTCCTAGACCCATTGCCACCCAGGGCTTACCAGTCTGTGATTTTATCCATAACTGGAGAACAAAATACCTTTCCTAAGGATATTTGACTTGAATGAACAAACTGACAAACTCAGCTTTCAAAAGTTTTAGCAAAAGCAATAAGACTTGCTGAACAGTGAATCAAATGTCCTACAAAAAGCACACTGAATCAAATGATGGTTTATCCTACAAAAGAGGATATAGGTCCAATTCCTGTTGAAGAGCACATTTTTTAACGATTTCTCAAATGTGCATTCCAATAGATATAACACACATTGTTTAAAAAGCATCTTTTCAAATAAAAGTATCCACTATAATAACATCTGAAGTTATATATATATATATATATATATATATATATATATAAAAAATGTTGATAGAATGCTACAAGGGATTAGATCAAATGAAATCAGATTAGATCCATTTCAGATCTTATGAGAAATCTGTTGGAAGTTAAATATTACTGCTTCCAGTTTAGGTGTGTGTTACCAAGACTAACAATTAACGATTCAAACAATTATGGTGTACAATTTCAGTTACTTAGAACACTAATAATATAACTAAAGGTGCTTCTGAAGACAACTTTACAGAATCATACATAAATATGCAACAGTGATAATTTAGTCATCTCACTAATTGACTATTCATTATGTTTATCATGATTATTCACATCATTGGTTCTATTCTTGATTAACTCCTGACTACTCAAACACATCTGTAGTACTTGTCTATCTCATCCATTAAACTATCCCAAATAAACTGCTGATCTTATTCCAACATCTTCCTCTAGACCTGTTTCATTTACTACTGCTATACTTCGAATAAGGTTGATATTCACCTGGAATAAAAGAATGGTTAAATTAATGTCATAATATAAATGCAAATGGAAGTATAGATCATACAATATCAATTAAAATTATTAAGGTGTACTGGCCAATTTTAAATAACAATAATATGATAAAGTGTGGTTTTCAGTTGCGATTGGTTGGCTTGTTTTGTTTTTTTGTTTTTTACAGCTTATCAGTTCTTTGTGGGTTATTTAAAATCAAAACATATTGTAAGAATAATATTTCTTTTTGCAAATGAATATTGCATTAACAGTTTTTTTTTTTTAGAATAACAATGATTTTTCCCCTATTTAACCCATAGCTGGGGGAGGAGATGGATTCATATCTTTCCTAAGGGTATTTTCACATAAATAAATATAACAATTTCAGTTGAGATCACATGGAAAAAATTTAATTCATAGGATGATATATGTACCAATAACATCCAACTTTTAAAAAATAGTTAAAGGAACTCTTATAATAATGGTTGATACATGCATATTGGAGCTGAAGTTTGTATCTGAATTAGACTAGAGACCTAGCAGCTGGTTGTTTTTAATTACAAGTTTTATCAAGTGAACTGGATGAGGGCATTCAACTCCTTAACTGACTGAATTGAGATTATATATTATCTGACTAGATCACATTAATCTGTAGGATAAATCCTACAGATATGTTGTTTTTTTAATCATTTCACACACACTCCAAGCAAGGCAATAATGCCACTAAGATGCACATGGTTACTAGGAATGGAAGAGAACGAGAAGACTTTAGTGAGGAGAAAAGACAATAGAAGAACAGAATTCAGGAAGACAGATTTAAAATTAAATTTTTGAAGATTGTATATGACAGAGAAGTAAGATGGTTCCAGAGGTGAGAAGTGCAAGAAAGGAAACTATTAGAATAGAACTTGTGGTTACATCTAGCTATTTCAACAGTACCATGATAAGACCTAATAGCCAATCTAGTAGCACACTTAAATTCACACAGTTGAAGGTATCAAGGAGGAAAGCTTGTTAGAACAATTGCCATAAAAAAAGTTTTAAAAAATTAGAGGAAAGTCATGTCATGGTGGTGGGAAAGTCACTGAAGCTGAGATGCCAGATAAAGACTAATAACATTACAGACTCTTTGAATTTTGTCAAGAATCTTGAGATATACAGTATCAGACCAGATATGGCAGCAATATTCAATGCATGGACAAATGGTAGATTTATAAATGTAGTAGTAAATAATGGTTCATTTACTACTAGCTTCATTAAAATAAGTGAATTTGGATTGGTCAGTAAAACATGCATCAGATATTATCAGCTGGTTTTATCTGTTATTTTAAAATGTCTTTCTTTTTCTGGTTATGTAGATACAAATATCAAATTCTGATTATACATTTATGCTTTGTTTTACTTTTCATTAAAAAAAATATTTTAAAGAGAAAAAATTATCTTGATTTTAAAACTTTCTGATATATGAGTTTACAGCCACAAGCTTCACCAATCTGATCCCTTGGATAAGACCTCATGGCCCAAGTTTTCAATATTTGCACTTGTTATAAATGGAAGAATAAATGAAAAATGGCAATAAACTACCTATGAGACTGAAAGAAAAAAAAGACAAGAATTGTTAAGATAAAAACCTTTGCATTACTGATACAGAGCATATGAGTGGAATGTCTCTTTATAGGCAAGGGAAGCCACTTAGAAGAAGGAGAGAGTTTGTAGGGGCTGGAGTTGATGCATGTGTTGGGTCAGTTAACTAAGGTGACTGGTGGTGATGTTGACAGCATGCCTATTTGCTGTGACTAGCTACTGTGTCGTAAGCGGCATTCTTAAAAGCAGATGTGGAGGATCATGAGTCATCATTTTTTTTATGTTTTTGCTTTGACTGCAATATTTGTGTTTGTCTCCTTTTATATTGTTTTTTCTTTTTTTTGTTTTTTTTTGGGGGGGGGGGGGTTGTGAGCTTGATGTGATGCTCAGAGCCCATGCACAGAGATTAACTTTTTTATTTTTGCTTTTTTAGCATTTACATCCAGCCAACATGTAGAGTGAATCAGAAAGAGATCTAATTTTAAGCCGAGTTACCACTAGATAACCTAGTGTTAATGTTTTCAATGACCATCTGTATTAGTGAAACAAAAAACTTATATATATTTTTTTAACTTTTGATTATTACTTAATTTAAACTGCACAAATATAAGAGAAATGGCCAAAAAACATCCATTTCAAAGAAATACACAAAGGAAAACACTTCAAAATGAAACAATAATTTGATTATAAAAAGTAATCTTAACAATTGATCACATCTTTGTAACTGGTCTCAATGGGGGGGGGGTAACCATAAAACAACGGCGATTACTTTATTCCTCTCACAATCTTCAGTTAACCAGCAAGAGGCTTCACCTTTTAATTGAGATGCCACTCTTGTTGACTAGAATAAGATTACCCAGTGAGGCTCTATAAAAGCCAAGGCTTTTTCTCTCGAGTCAGTTTTTTTGACTCTTGCCTGGGGGAACTTTTGTCATTCAGCTTTAATCAGGATTTTTGAGAGTTGCTCATTTGGTAGATAGCTGAGAAAGTCAAGTGAAAAAGAAGACTAGGACCTCTAAAAAAATAAGCAGAAACTATAAGAACAAAGACTTACTTAATTTAAAGTACTGCTAGTATCTTATTTATATTAAGTTACATGCAAATTTTAAATAATTTTCTCAAAAGATTTTTAGTACATGTGCAGATAGTTGTCTGGGTTTTTGCCTCTTCAACTTTAACATTTTGTTTTTCATTGTCATTTTCCTCTTTTGATCGTTGCTTAAAGAAACTAATATTTGATCCAAATAAGAATATATTTTCTGTGTAACAAATATTATGTTTAACTCTTAAAGGCACATTTATAGAAACCAGTGTTTGATTAACAAACAACCAAGTATACTTTTTGTTAACTTCTTGTGAGTTGACCACTTAGCAATACATTATTCCTGGACATTTTATGTGAATTTCACTATTTCAGAAATCACTGTGTAACAGAAGGATCTAACAGTGAACCAGACCAAATGGCAAGTACATAGTTGCTCGTATGAACAGACTTATTCTACTTAGCTGGAACATTTCTTTCTGAATTTTAAACCAGAGTATTGTACTGGCATATGGTTACTATGTGTTCAATAGGTTAATATTTAAATATTTATTTACATCATACTCAGTACATTATCTGTTTCTTTTTTTATGTGCCATGTCCCGAAAGGACATGGGTGATCATGGTTCTCTACAACCTTCTATTCCTTGTAGACTTTGGCAACCTTTTACCCTTTGCCTCCCACCTCCAGTTCTACCATTTACAAGTAGATAGTCCATTGCCTTCTGTCCCTCTTGCCCTAGACATGCCCTATGAGTGTCAAATTCTCCAAGTACCCCTTCCTCATATGTCTAAGAAATCTCAGCTGTCTCATTTTGAATCTAAGTATATACTGCCTTTTTGTTTCCATTTTTGTTAAGACTTATTCATTGCTTTCATGCTCTGTTCATGGAATTCTCAATATCCTGCTGTAGAACTTCACTTCTGTTGCTTCCAGTTTTCTCTTAATCCGTGGGATTATTTTGAGAATGATCTAAGAAAATTGGAAATATACATGCAGATCTGTCTACATTTCTGACATGAGGTATTGTAACTATTTACACTATCTACAATGTTCTGATTGTTGTCCTCATCTTTGTTATATTCATGATCTTTTGGCTATTTCCAGTCATCTTCAGGTGATAGTTGGAATTTTGAACCAAACCCTTTATTTAAAACTAAACTAATGAACTAAATAAAGGGTTTGATTTGAAATTCCAATGTCTATTACCTGAAGAAGGCCAGAACATACAAAAGCTGAAAGGTCATGAATATGACAATAAAGATGAGAACCACAATTTGAACTATGTAAATACTGTAAATAGATACATGCAGATGATTTTTTTTTCTTTTATTCATATTTTTTTTAATCAAATACTGATAAACCACTTACAGAGTTACTTTGATTTTTAATTTTAAGAAAGTATAATTGACAAAAGTTTTATTATGCTTGTTTTTCTATAATGTTGCAATAACTTGTAAATGCTGAACTTTCAAGATTGATTCTTTTGATTTCATCTGATGATGCTTAAGTTGACTTTAATGTTTGCGCTTTCTGACATTTTAAGCAAATTTCTTTTTCTCTTTCTTTCTAGTTTCTTCACATCAATCAAAACCGATTAATAGTTTTTGTTCGCCACGAACTTCCCCCAAGAGCTGACGTGACATTGCTGCCCCATGACCCTCTTTTGGCAGTTGATGAAAACACAGATCAGGCAAGGAATTCTTCTGCTTTCTTTTATAAAGTCACATGATTAAATCATGCAGAAAATAATGTTCACTTATTTTTTTTTTCAGTCATTTTTTCTTATATTGCAAAAACTTTCTATTGTTTCATTATTTTTAAAATCTGAAGACAAGATACATTTTCTTCAAATTTGAATTCACCTAAAACAAGGCAGTAAAGCCATTAAAACACAATGGGTTATTGGGTGTGAGAGAATTAGAAAACAGAAGCATTATTGAGGAACGAGAACAATAGAAGTGTAATCAGTAAGACAGTAGATAACAATTGACATTGCATTTAAAATTTTAAAGATCAAATTTGGCTGAAAAGCAAGAAGCAGGAAAAGAGTTCCACAAGAAAGAAGTGTGAGAAAAGAAAATGTTAACATAGAACTTACAGTTACATCTAACCAATTCAATTGTAAACAAATGGGACATTGTTGTTAATCCAGTACTGCACACTAATTCATAAAGTCTAGGTACAATAACAAAGAACTCATCCAAACAATTACCATGAATGTATTTATAGAAAAGGCACAGGGAAACAACTTTACAACAATGAGAAAGTGACTATGCCAAGATGCCAGATGCACTCGACACACAAGACAGTGAACCAACTTTATTAGAACTGACCTAGCAATGGATTCAATATAGTCTTTACTCTTCATGTCAGCCGAAAATGTTAGCCATAGAAGGCACAACAACTCACTCACCTGGAGATTAGCATCATCCATACTGATGGAAGACAGAAAGGTCTCTCAGATGATTAATAGAGAGCAGTTTTGTTTTGGAGGTATTAAAATTAACAAGCCATTCTTTGTCTCAGTTAACAAAAGACTTTAGGTCTTTTGTGAGGTCAGCCACCAATTTCACCTTATTGAACTGATCAGACTTAGTATCGAGATAGGAGAAATAGTTGTCATCAGCATAGATACCAAGTTGAGAATTGATGCCATCAGGAAGGTCATTGATGAAAATTAAGAACTCAGTAGGTCTAAGTATAGAGCCCTTGGGAACACTTGCATTGAATTATGATGATAAAATAGTCTTGAATTGATTTTTAATGAAATGATTCATTAAATTATGATATAACACAATCTCCTTCATGGATAAATATAATACCTCTATTATATAGAAATAAAGATAATCTTGACTGAAACATTCATTAATCCAAATCCTTCTCACTCCTGTTGTAGGAACCCTTCCTGGTTGACCATGTCTTCAGAGGTATAGGCGTACTTACAACACATGGCCAATTGTGGGTTGGTGAGGCTATTTAACCCATAGTTGGGGTGGATGGCCATTGACTCTAAGAAGTTCATCTGCCCTTTAATAACTCTTGATTTTTGTGCTGCTGGAGTTTTATTTACCCTTTTCACCATTCCAAGGTCTGGTGGGGCAGCTGGTTTATTCACTGATCACTCAGGTTTTGAATTCAGTGTTGTCCTTCCTGTAAAGCAGTTGCCACCAAAGACTATAGAACCCAGTCTCTTATGCTATTTATCTATAACTGAGGGGAGAAGAGATGGATTCATACATTTCCCCCAAGGTGTTTGCACATAAGTGGATGTAATGAACTCGACTGGATTTCAAATTCAGCTCTGATTCCACAATCCAAGTTACTACCATTATTCCACTGTGACTACATTAATGACTAATGTCGACCATAAAATCCAATATTAATTATAAAATTAAAATTGTGTATTATGAAAATTAATATTAAAATCAAGTATTAATTACAAAAATTAAAATCAGGTATTAATTACAGAAATTAAAATCAGGTATTAATTACAGAAATTAAAATCAGGTATTAATTATAGTGGAACACACGTATTCTATAGTTAATAGACTCTCCAACCTATAATAAGTAGGAGTAGTAAGAGTAACGAGTGGGTCGGACGGTTAGTCAGTTGATGTCGGATGACAGTCGAATACTAAAGCATCAGCGACCACAACTAGATTACTCTGCGTTATACCTATTATATCAAGTTCCTAACGTTTTGTACGTCAAACCTATTTTAGGACCGACTTAGTACAAATACAAGCCTCCACTGTGAAATCACTCCATAACAGAAAGTTTATTGCATATTGTTGTTGCTGGTGAGGATGGCTGGCATGGAGAGCCTGTTGGTAAGAGCTGGTGGCCTACTGGAGATGGCTGGGGCGACAGCCAATGGCAAGCTGGAACTGCTGTTGATGGCTGGAGCCATGGGCTGGCTGTCGACAGGCTTTGATCCGAGTCATTTTATTATTTATTGCCAAAGAAGGAAGTGGGATGAGGTCGGTTGTTACTGACTATCCTAAACCTAGCTAATCTGATTTGTGATCCATTCATTCATTACAATCACCACAAGAATTCATTCTTCTCCATTCATCCAACATACCCACAATACCACATACTCAAACGTGGGTTGTGGGCTACTAAAAACACCCATGATATAAAATTTTTTCTAATATATACAAATGTGTCATCTTGACTGCTATATTTAACAGTCCCCCCACAAGGAATGTATGTGGCACAAGGCCGAGTTTAACGTGGGTTTCTCCAAGCCCATAGGCTCAGTCAAAAATACTCCCTTAGAACTCACATAAGCAGATTCGAGATCTGTCTACCTCCCTGGACAAAACGTTGCCCTTTGGCAAAGCTGCGTCTGGATTTCTCTCTGCCAAAGCAGAGAGTTCAACAGAAGTTGCACACAGTCAGAGATTGTCATCTTGGCTGTAGAACGCTTGTTTTTTTGATGCCATGATTCTTCAACAACACTTGTTTTTTTCTTCCAAAAAATGTGGGAGTGCCAACAGAATATGATACACCTTCCCAAAATATTCTATGGGTAAAGACTGATAATCCCATGCAACACTCATCATGGATAGATGAATGAATTTCTAAAAATAAATATGAAAGTATAATTTAAAAATAGGATATATTTTTCAGACAAACTAAAAAAAAAAAAAAAAAATGAATCCTATTTCAGAAAGATCCTAAGGTCTTTATATTTTCATAAGCTTTGTTCAGTGATCTACCAAAAAATCAATTATTTTTTGAATGTGAAATCAATTTGCTTTTTTTTTTTTTTTTTGCAAAAGCAGCTTTAAACTTTCTACTTCATAATTGTCTTGGTACTTCTAAGATCGCAGAGATAAACATTGCTTTCAGGTTGATTTCAATTTATACGTTTCCAGCTTATCAGAGGATTTTGGGGGGGTGGAGAGTAAGATTTCAAAAGATTTTGCTTTATTTTTTGTATTTTTATTGTTCTTTAATTCTGTTTTCTTTTCAAACTAGAAATGCTTGCTTTTGATTTCTTATTATGCAACTCTTAATAAACACAATATATAGAATAAACATATTGTTATAGATATTATTACTAGAAAAAATTTTTACATTTGCATGTGACATCATGATGACCTCTTTCTGCAAATCAAATATGTATTATAGAATTGTTATATTAAGCACATGGTGGCAGAACAAATAAGAAACAATTAAGGTTTAAAGAAATAAGCAATTGTATTAAGATAAAATACAACAAATGATAAATCAGTGTAGATGTCTCTCACTGATAAAAAAAAAAAAAAAAATATGGAGTTGTAAAAGGTGTCCGTTGAAGCATACAAAAGGAGAGTGGGGGAGGAGTTGTTACTTACTGGGCAATGGTCTTTGGCAAGGACGCTTTCTAACTAAGTCTGTGAACCTGGGCCAAGACGTTGTCCGACTGCTGAAATGTCCATTTGATGAGTTTTTATGTACTTTCTTAAGCTCAAAACAGCTTTTCCAGCTTTTATTTTGGCAGGAGTGGGTGCTATTGGGTTGAAATTCTGGATTGTATTGCTTATTTTTTCTTTGAGTGTGTTAGTAAAAATGTATATACGGAGGCTTGTGCAGTTGCTGGAATTTTAGTTCAGTTTTGGGTGTTCAGACTGTTCATATTCAGTTAGATGCAAGAGGCTAAAGGGTGTGGCAGAATTAGAAACAGAAGCATTAGTAATGAGTCGAAAGAGAATAGAGTAATCAGGTGGACAGTAGATAGTGACATTGCATTTAAATTCATGCAGATTAAAGTTGACTGGAAAGCATAGAGCCAGAAGGGAGTTTCACAAGTGAGAAAAGAAGTTACAGCTACATCAACCAACTCAGTTGTAAATAGATGAGATCTCACCACCTCTCACTGTTCTTAAATTCATACAGTCTAGGTACCATACCAAAAAGCTCATGCGAACAATTCCCATGAAAATGTTTTAAAAATTGACATAGGCAACCTTAAGTGGTGGGAAAGTGACTGGGGCCGAGCTACCAGATCAGGACCAATGATATTGCTGATTCTTCTTTGGATCTTATCAAGGGGTTCCAGGTAAATAGCAGGGTCATCATACTATATATAGCAGCAATATTCTATGCATGGGTGAATTATAGATATGCAAGAGAGATTTTGGAAAGAAAAATTGTTTTGCATGGCATAATGAACTGATTTTCTTAGAAGGTGACCTAGCAATGAATTGAATATAATCTTTCCACTTCATGTCAGCTGAGAACATTAGCCTGAAGGCACAACATATCACTTTTCTGGAGGTTAACATCCTCCATGGTGATGAAAGGCAGAGTGGTATCTCTCAGATGATTAATGGAGAGAAGTTTAGTTTTGGAGGTGTTAAAATTGACAAGCCATTCTCTGCCCCACTTAACAATGGTCTTGAGGTCATTTTGTACATCAGCTATCATTCTGACCTTGTTAGACTGATCAGCCTTATATATATACTAAGTATTACATATTTATGAATAGTTAATCATAGTTGATAATATTTATATATTCAGAATATTATGCTTGCATATATCTAGATGAGACTGCTTCAGTAAGTGTATAGAATGATACACAATTATTAACTAAATTTGGATTTGAAATTTTTCATCCAAGTGATTGATTATTATTCCCTATTGAATTAAAAGCATTGACAAGGAAAGAAATTATGATGAAAAATTAAATATTTGTTATAT